CTGCCACTCATCCTTATTTCCAGCATCATTCAACTCACCTCCTCTAAGCCTTGTATAGGGATGCATCGATACCGATACTACTATTGGTGCCAATACCAAGTATTTCGCAGAGTACTCATACTCGTCCGAATGCTCCCATACCGTCCCCGATACCGGAACTTCTGGTCAGAGGGAGTTTTCCTCTGACCGGCAGTTCCGCGAGGGAACATGGAGCAGCCTGTGACTGGACAGTGATAGGAAAAGCAGCACACTGATAAGCTCATCTCTCTGCCACTCTTCTCTCTCCTCCTATCAGCACATGAACTGATTGGCTCATTGTACTGCTTCTTCCTCTCACCCTCCAGTCCTGCTGTACAGGGGCTGCCAGATGCTGATACCAGGTCACATTAAGGTACTTACAGCACTTGTTTTTAAAGAATACATTTAATAATTCTTTAATTACAATGTTTTGATCAATTCCCCCTCATGTATTTTATGTCTGCCTAGGAATCCTTTTTAAGGATACAGAATGATCACACACAATAGGTGTGCACACTCCCTGTAATGGAAAGGACTATTTTTATATGATCTGCCACCATCATAGAAGTAATTTCATATTTGAAGATCCAATTCAAAAATTGTGTTTCAAATCCTGTAGAAATGCTTGACAATCCCACATAAGAAACACATCACAAATGTCTGTGTACACTGACCCTGATCCACTGGTGGGGGGCTCATAAACTAAAAACAACATACACAGTACAAATAATCTGCACATCATCTCCATACATCGTATATATTCAGTGTAGTGAGTGGGTGACCACCATGTCATGATCAAATAACCGTAGTCACGCCCCATACTGCATATTGCTTTCTATGTAATAATGAAGACAATGCACTATATACTGTATACTGCCTGTAAGGACAGTTGGATGGAGATAATATATACGATATGAACATATATGGTCATGTGATGCTATTAGAAGAGAAGGGGTGTGTCCCTAGCACGCTCCCACTATTGCCAACAATTACCTGCGTGCCAGCGCTGCCACCCGCACCATCCATAGAATAACCCAGGAGCCGGAGATACAACCTACCTCGCATTACCACACCTGCAGGCTTTCTGCACCAATCAGACTAAAGAGGCATGGGGCTGTGACCCAATGAGAAAGCAGGAATGGACCGGCCGCTGAGACTGCGGCCAGGAATTCTGTGTAGAATATAGTGACACTGTCGAAGGGAGGCGACGTCACTATGTTTGGCTGCACCGAGCTTGGTTGCCTTGCCGCAGTGCAGCTGCCTCCCCTGTTCAGCGTCCATTGGTCTCATAGCAACGGGAGAGGGCGGAGCCTGTGTCCGGATTTATCGTGGGACACACCCTGGGCACCCTACTGAGGCTGGTATTATTACAGGGAAATGGGGGCGGTGGGGGGTGTGCGGCAGGGAAATGCTCGAGTATCATGCATGGGAAACTAAGGGCATCAGGTTGCTGGAGGACTACAAGTCCCAGCAGCTGGTAGTCATTTAACAAGTGGCACGTTGCATTGTGTAATGCTATTTAAAGGACCAGTATCAGGAGAAATCTTGCATTGTGATATCTGTATGTGGTTAATACATGACATCATTGGATTCGGCTTATTATTTTTTATTATGACTGTGTGCGACTTTTTAAAATCTTTTTCTCTCCATTAACATACAGATCAGACTGTGTAGTAAAAGTGCCAGGAGTTGGGACAAACCATAACACCACCAGGACGGCTTACCATACAGTTATGTCTTCTTCCCTCGGGTTGAATCTATTTTTTAAAGCACCCCTGTAGTATTCCTGCACTTTGACCTGCATTTTAAATGTATTATTTTTTATGTACAGGTCACAATAAGGCTCAAAATGCTAACATCTTTTTTTTTTTTATTCCTCAACATACGCCAACACACTTGTATGGTGTGAACAGGGCACATAGAGATCAATTGTTTTTTTTGCAATGTCCATAAAGGAGAACTATGAGGCGAGTGAAAATCACTCATCCTCATAGTTCGATCCGACGTATGACAATGAAACTGTCGGCTCAATAGATCGGGAAGTGAGCGAATACATACCTGCAGAGAGCAGTGACTGTCACTCACGGCTCCCTGGAGGGATTCCCCCCCCCTCCCCGCTCCGATCCTCCAGCGCTGACTGGCGGAACGGACAGGGTGGGGGCGGGTAAAGCTGACTCTGCCTCTGGATAGGCAGAGCCCGCTGTCACTCACGAAGCTGGGTGGATCTCGACAGTAATGTCAGGATCTGTCCTGGCTGCGGCGGTCTCAGTATACCACGAAATGTAGTCCTCCCGTGACCCTTAAGAGAATTATGGGGAAAACCACTTACCCCATAGTTCTCTTTTAACCCTTTCTCTGCCATCACGTTTTACCTTTTTATACACGCATGTAGATGTAACAATAACATTTTAGTCCTAAATATTTCATAAAACCCCCAAAAGTTATGTATTTCCTGAAAGCACAAACCCTTCAGAATAAAATGGTGGCAGTTGTACATTTTTACGTTAGTGCAACTTTTTTTATCAAACCACAAATTTCAGTGAAAAATTACTTTAAAATTAAGTTATTTTTAGTGCACAAAAGACAATATAATGCCCAATTTTTGAGGTTAGAAATTGCATGTGCCTGTGAAACAGAGAAAAAAAGTGGTAGCCTAAATTGTTCATAGGTGACACTTTAAAAGTCCATGCAGGCCATCAGTTTAGCGTTAACTGTGAACATTGCCACGAGAATTATTGCTCTCACTCTGGTGCACACGGCGATACCTAACAGTAGCCAGGGGCGTATCTGCCGAGACGTTTGCCTGGAGCGGCAGATTCCCTGAGAGCGGCACTTGCTGTGGTTCTCTTCCCTTGATAAATGTTATTTATCAAGGGAAGAGAACCAGAGGCTATCGTAGCAGCGTAGGACGAGGACGGCGGTGTCCAGCAGGCAGCGGCGCTTTGTAATGCCTGGTGAGTGACCGTCGGTGGTGGTTGTCTATCAGCTTGGAGGCGGCGTCATCAGTACGGGGGGGGGGGGGGCGGTGCGGCGTTGCTGTTTTGCCTAGGGCAGCAGCAATTGTAAATACACCGCTGCATGTAGCGCCATTGCTGTTTTTGTATTTAGTATGCAATACAAATGGTACATTCTTTGACATGATGTGACTGCTTCTACAATAAAGCAAATGAATAAGAAGCTGTTCTGCAGTGTGTGCTGGTGATCAAGTTATTCAGGGTGATCAAGTTATTCAGTATTCAGATTTTTGCGCGGCGACAACCGTGGCACCATTGCGAGCACCGCCGTCTCCACAGGTTGCCACGCTGTATTGAGTGCAGATGATTTTCTACATTATCACTACAATGGCAAACGCACTCATCAATTCATAACCAGCTTTAAAGTAGTGTGCAATTGGAATACTTTACCCAGTACAAAAGCAAAAAGTAATTGCCATTTGTATTGCTTGTTGGTGTGGGGGACACACTGGGGGCTTCAGCTGCCGTTGTGATGTGCGGGGCTTCTGCTGGGTCCCTGTGCTTTTATGGAGGAATGGGCTACCTCCTGGCAAACCTGCACCCAATTCATCCTTTGCTATATACGCTCCAAGATGGAGGCTCTCATAGATTAGAGTTAGGCACACACGACACAGAGGAGCCTTGGCGGGGCAGTGTGACTTCCACATATCTTGCAAGAGTTGTGCAACTAAAACCATAATAGTTAGACAGTGATTTTTTTTTTTTACAGGCTGGCTGGTGAGTGTGCTGGGAAACCTTTTGCTTTTGCGTTAGTATGAGCGCGTCCCCAGGGACGGGGGCTTTAAAAAGTTTTGGGGGGTATTTCAAAAATTAATTTTATTTAACTTTATTTAATTTTTTTACTTGACTCCATTGCTATTACATAGGGGTCGGTCACACGACCAAGAATGTGATCGCACATTGGAGGGGACAGGTTCTCTCCAAGGTGATATTAAAGGAGAACAAGCACTCACCTCATAGTTCTTGCCCATGCTCAGCAAACAGGTTTGCTTTAATCCTTCATCCCTCATCCCCTGCAGCACATACTCTTCTCCCCCCTCCCTCTCCCCCACAGTTCAGCTACTGGAAGATTAGAAAATATCCAGCACTTTTGGGTATGGAGGAGTATATAGCTTTCCACCATGTGACAGCCCTGGGCTGGTTACCAAGCGGCAAGTACTGTCACATGGATAGAGTCTAAAGTCTAGTGTAAACTAGTTCACGTGCTTTCCCTGGTCTCTGTACAAGGAATGTTGGGGAATGTTGGGGAATGTAGTTTGAGACTTCCCTTATCTGTAGTGCTGGCAAAGAACAGGTCCAGACCACACACTAAGGGAAACAAGTGGCCATTTCAATCAAGGAAGGTGGAGAAGCAGACAAGAAGCCACTTGTGCAGGTTAGTGCTGCAAATGCAATCATCTTAAAAAATCATGGCTGTATGTAATGTACATGTTGTGTACATTGCAAACATATGTTTTTTTTTAGAACTCCAAAAACAAGATGGAATGATCCTTTAAGTGACTTGTAGCTTACACAGGGTAGCCTCACCTGCTCTCTGTGGAAGCCTAGATTTGGCATTATTAAGCCATTTGTAACATCACTGGAAGCTTGTCTTTCTATTAAAGGGTTGATTTGTAAAACTCCCGCCCAGCTATTCACTGGACGCATGTAGTTCACACACCATGCCTGCCATTAGATGGCGTCGAGAAACATAGGGATTTCCTATGCTCTTTGGCTCCATCTAGTGGCTGGAATGCCATGAGACCAGCATTGGACATTTATAAATCAACGCCTAAGTGTAATAAGGAATAAACTTTAACTCTGTACCTGTTATGTAATTTTATCCATTTTAGTAACTAGAAAAATATTAACCTACGGGTTCTTTTTGTCTTCACAGTGGGAACCATTCTACAAATTCATTAATCCTGAATCATCCACATTAGAAATAATGATGCAAAAATACCAAATGTATACATATACATATGTGCCAAAATACCAAAATGACAGCAAGGCTTAAAAGGAACTCAGGAATAAACAGAGCAATACTTTCAGAAGTGGATCCCATGAGGCACCTACGTCACTCATTTCATATGAGCAGGACAAATACGACAGAACAGCTCCCCAGCATTGCAGGGATTGGTTTGGGGATTCAGGATGTAAAGTCAACCACTAATGTGCCTTTTGGTAAAACAGCAAAAAGCGTTCCCGGCACTGTCACAGCTGAGAAGCCATCACGGAAGAGCGTTGTCAGCATAGCAGTTCAGGTACAAACTTCTCTTGGCCTTGCTCCCTGTTTCATATACTAATGCTTTGAGTTGTTGACTTTCTCTTGGTAGTAATGAAGTTAATGGCTTTGTTCTTCAACATAAAGCCTGGGGAGCATTACTGTCTATTTTGTTTTCTATGCTTGCGGTTATAATATATACATTCTAATCTTGTTGATAATGTTACAGTTATAAATGTATCATTAAAGTAATTACAATTTTTGTAATAATTGTTACAATTTAAACAAAACTTTAGTTTGCAATAACATTCTTTCCTTCTAGGCTTTATACTCACTTAGTTGCAATCTGATTGCACTTCTCCATGTAATTTTTTTTAGATTTATCTAGGTAATTATAAAACTTTAAGTGAAAACACAACTTTTGATTTCTTGCAATGACCAATAATACTCTGTAGTTGTATGTTGTATGAAATAACAATAATTTGACCAGTAGCACTTGTATTTCATTCATTTTGAATGGCTCCCCCATGTGCATTGTCGGTGGCGGCTGCTGTGCGTTGGCTGGCACAATGCCAATGTGCCGATCTCAGCACAACATTGCAATGTTTTGGGGTTTTTATTTGGTAGAACTTTATTGAAATGTAAAACTGTGACATTTCATTCAGTTCTACGGGCACAGAAGGGTGCGAGGCAGTTGTTCTGTGTTGCATCCCGGTCTCAAAGCAAAGAAAATCGGTCCTAAAGCAGCCACAGCCTCAGTAGAATAGCCTGTCCCCTGGCAGTATGCTGCAGAGTGGGACTTTTGGTCTCTGTAAAGAATCATTGGTGTCATTGCAGAGGTCCAATACTCCGTCTCCTGAGTCAGAGCCAGAGCTCTCCAATCAGGCTGTGGTTGATTGATGAAGAACTGTAAGACATTGAACACTTTCATTGTGTCTGAGGGTTCAAATTGGCTCTAACACACTGCACATTAACATCTGACATAATGTAAGGATAAGTGAGCTTGCTGTGCATTGACTTCCCATAGGGCTGTATGAGACTTAGGAACAGCAAAGGAGTATACTTGCATGCTATGCTAACAGAGGGCAGCAAAAGGAATAAGTGCACATATTCTTTAACATAACTGTGTCTATCAATCAAATTTTTTTATATTGTCCATTTTTTTTTTTATTGCAAAATGATATGTACATGCCCACATATCAGATCACAGATCAAAGCATAGACGTAATCTATTGGCATAACCACAGTTTGATATATTTTAGGTATCGTCTGATGAAGAAAGTGCATTTCTGTCAAAAATACAAGCTTTGCAGAAGGAAAATCTGGTGCTGAGATCATCTGTAAAAGAAAAAGAGGATATGGTGGAAAAGCTCAATAAAACCATTACAAATAAGGTATCAGTATTTTTCTAACTCATTTTTTTTTTAAATTAAGGCTTTATATTTTTTAGAAAAATAAACAGAAATAAAGAAACATTTAAAATATGATGGTCTCCTCAAACGTACATATGACTAACGTGGATCACTAACGGTGTAAAAATACAAAACTTAAGAATGAAATGAAGTAACGGCATCCATTACAAAGTCTTAGCATACTAGGACACCACGGCAGAGTAGTGTAATAATACTGAAAACATTACATAATACCTTCAGTGTACCAGCAGAAGGTAACTAGAGAAGTAAATGAGAGTCAGTCAAAGAAAGTCATCAACTATCAATAAAACCATGCCAAAAGTGATGATGAGTCCATACAGAAAACAAAAAAAGTAGAACCGACCTATCCACCCCATCATCAACACAGCAAAGCGACTGCATTCTGTATAATTATTAAATCCATAATAGCATATAGTTTAAATATATATAAAATTGGACAAAGTATATACCCATTGCACAACAGATAGACAATGCATGACCAGGGTAGTTGGTGCCAAACTGGGCACCCCCAACCACTGATCCCAAAACTTTGAAAAGGTGTCATCATTGATAATGAAAACATTCTCTAAGCTATAAAGTGTGTGATGTTTTCCATCAGCCTCAATTTATAAGTCATTTCCAGATTTGGAACTTTGTTGAAGAATTATTGGCACTTATGTAAGAAACTATCTGAAAGAATAGCCTGTGATGCTTAAAGCAACCGATCATTGTCACCTTTCATATTTTAGTTGGCTCTAGAAAGAAAAAACTTGACTGGATGTTTTTCAAAATTTTTTTAGTTGCTGCTATACATTGAAGCAGCATCTGTGCAGCTTGTGGCTTTATCAAACCATGCCAGCTTCAAAAGAGCGAATTCGTCATTTTTTAAGCTCTCAAAAGTTAAAGTGACACTAAACTCGAGGGTTAAATCCTAAAAATGCATTCAAGTACTTTAGTTATTAACGAAAATGTATCTAATTTGTGTATCACTCGGCTGTAGGTCCTCAAATCATCTCTGAATTGGTGCTGACGCTGTCCTTCCTTCTGGAGGGTGGCTACTTTTGTTGCCCATGGTCCCTGTGTGTGTTGTAAAGTAGTCACCGCCCCAATCTCGCATACTTATCTTTCCGCGATCGGTCCTTCCCCTCTGCTGGTATAGGCGTACTATCCATACCCCGTACTGCCGTCCAGTGCAGCCCTGCACTATGGATTTTGAATTTCACTCACAAATTGAGAGCACTTATTGGCCAGCGCTTACCCCAATGAGAAGCGTTGCTTAGCACGGTTAAATACGATTTTGGTTAGAATGATTTTTTTGTACACATTCCAATTGTATTGAAGTATTTCTTGTTAGCCTATTAGGGCTTCTAGGGTTGCACATCTTGATTTTGATCCTGTAAATTTTGCTTGGACATGCAGCCCTATTGGATTTGTATTCTCGGATTGTGTTACTATGTTGTATTTACAGTTTACTGTTTAAAACATTCATGAAAATCAATAAACTTTGAACAAAAAATTATGTTTCACGACAAGTAGATTGTCATGAGGGAAAGTAAATTGGGCCCCCGCTTTAGTCCTTGGACAAGTAGTTTTTTGTTGTTTTTCTTTTAATTCCACACCCCTGGAAGTTCTGCTATAGGCAATACTAGTGACTAGTTCCTTGTCTGCTGCTTGACTTTTTTGGGCACAGTTTCCACGGTTCAGGTCCTCTTTAATAGCAAGTCAGCAAAAGTAACTCTCATGTTTTTGTCCTGACAGGTTGTCTTTAATAAGTGTGTAGCGCTCACCCCCGAAGGAGCCGCTGAATGATCGGGTGTTTCTATCCCCCTACACCAATGTACCGCCCAAATCGTGGATCCACAGCACACCAACACACCTTTGAACAGTTTGATAGCAGATTTAATAATAACACAATATATGAAGCAACTATGGCAATAGTATACCCAACAGTCACACAAAAGGATATTAAGCAGCAGGATAAGGCACTCTGCAACTCAGTAACTGCAGCTATTTGCTGTCAGCACTGAGGTATGTGAGGCCAATTGTCTTTAAATGTCCTCCCTTGAATGGGGTGTATGTCCCTTTAAGGTTTCCCTTTGGCAATGCCCAACCCTTCCTAGACTACTGGCCAGTAGTGGTGTCCTAAGCTAGCCGGCGTTGGGGCCCTTACTGTAGTGCAGGTAAGAGAAGCAAACAGGCTGTCAACGTGGCCAAAGGCCTCTCACCAATCCTCAGGTCAGTTGGAGAAGATGAAGACTGATAGCAGATGCCGGACGTCCTCTATTCCTCTTCAGCTCAGGCGCAGTAGGGGAAGTCGTCTGGGTCCTTGATAGGAAGTCTTCACTCATCCAGGATGCTCGCAGTCATCTCGGTTGGCTCCGTCTGGCTTCTCTCTCTCTCTCTCTGCTGGGCTGGCTGGATCACCCCGGCGGCTGGTTCGGCCGTGCACCTAGGCCTCGACTTCCTGGCGATAACCGCGTCACCGGATCTCACTTCAGGCACTCGATCGGATCCTCTCCGGTTCAGCAACTCGGGTCAGTCTCTCTGTACACCGCTGCACAGAGCCTGTGTGTCGCTGTATATCAGCGGTGACCACACAGCTCTGTCTCACACAGTCTTAGCCCACACAGGGCTGCACAGATCTGTCCTCTTCGGATGGCTGTCCCAGACTGCGCGCGTACAGCAGCCACCACCCCTAAGTCTCCTCCTCTCTCCTGCACAGCCTCCTGGGAGCTGCAGTTTCAGAGATCATCCTTGTAAATGTTTCAGTCCCTGCTCTGCACTCCAACTCCCATAAATCTCCACCTCCAGGGCACACAGAGGCCATTAACTATTCACAGTCAGGAACACGAATCACTGTAATCGCACGTATATACATGAATATATATATCTATAGGGGCTACAAGTGCTTATTGCATACCAAAAATGTGGGGCTTTGCTGCAGTGCAGAACATTACATGAAAAATAGTTATTCTGATTGATTGCTATGGACAACAAGACATTTTCTTGGCAGAGCACTTTTCATACATTACCTCCTATGTCATTTTATTAGCTATGATAATATATTTTATGAATGTTTTCTCTGTGTAGCAGCCATTTTACAGTCTACATGTAGCTGACTTGGCCTTGAGTTTAAAGCAACAACATTCTATCGCTGTAGACGTTGCAGTTCGCCAAAGACATTGAACTTGAAGTAAACAGTCATGAAACCACCAGGCAGTCGCTGGACAGAAGCCAGAGATTAGTGGAAGAAAAGGAACAGCTTCTAAACGATAACATTCTGCATTATGAAAATGTCAGCAGAGAACTGCAGAGTCAGGTAGGTGCTATGGACGGATATCCATCACTTAAAACCTCTTCAGAAAATGTCTTCGTTCAAAACCATAAATTAATGTGACATCTTCTGTCTTCTGAAAGTATGAAGAGACAATGGCAGCACTTCGGGAACAGAGCCAAATAGAGGTCAACATCAGAGATGAAAAAGTCAATAAACTGAAGCAGCAGATCTCCGAACTTTTCAGAGACAAGTCATGGTACATTTAACCCTGCAGATTTTGTTTTCCACATTACATACATAATCATCAATGATACATTACAGTTTCTTGGTTTTAAACGTTGTACAAATATAGACTGTTCACATATGTTAAAGGATTTTTTTTGGGGGGTGTAACAGCACTGATCATATATTACCTCTAATGATGGGTATTAGACATGTAAGCTGTGGAAAAATTTGGTTGGGTTATTTCGGGATTCGGATCGGAAATTCACTTCGGTTTGGGTTTCGGATTCTGATTCTGATTCAGATGAGTTTATGAATATTCATTGGGAATAACACAGAAAACCATATACAGATATTAACACTAAAGCTGATCCTTCGGCTCTCTTCAGCCGCCTCTGCCTATTCACAATAGTTATTCACAATTCACAGTTGTTATTCATTTCCAATAGGAAACAGCCAATGGGAAACAGGAATAGGACAGCCAATAGGAAACAGTTGGGCGGAGCTAACTTTCACCTCTAGCTCTGCCCAATTGTTTTTCTTTTGCCGGCATCTGTCAGATGCATTATTATGCAGCGGGAGTCCATCGCATGCGGTCGGGTCGGCGCGCGGCATTTAAAAAACATTTTTTTTTTCTTTTCTTTACAATATTTTTATTTATTTTTTAATCTTCCTATTTTCTTTACATTTTTAAAATATTTTGCAACATTATTTTCACTTGTTTTTTACTCTGCTCGGTACCTTTTGTGTGTATTTCTGTCATCTCTCCAGGGAACATCAGAAGCAAATGGAAGACCTGCAGAAGGAAATAAGTCGATTAGCGGAGGAGGCTCAGTTACACCGCACACAGCTGAAGAGAGATAGCACTTCCAGACATGTGAGATTACTAGAAGTACTGTATCACTGGTATTACTGTATCAGGTCTTATGGGCATTCAGATTAACAGACTAGGATATTCCCAGCTACATCTCTGCTATGAGATCTCCAAAGGAAATCTGCCGGTGCCACGATCAGGGTAATCTGTCTCCATGGGGAAGATTTTTGGGGATTACAGCAGGCAAATCAGACTAATCCAAAACTGCAATTAAAGTTTCTGTTGTAGTTTTCCTTACAAATACACAGGCATACTGGAAGAGGGTATGTGACAGTTGTTACCAAGTTTGGTATTTCTAAAGGGGACTTCTAGCTTGCTAGCAATGCAAATGTGCCAAATTACCTCATGGGCACACTGTAGATGGGCAAATGTCTTCCTGTGAAAGAGTGCAGCTAATTTATTGTATGTAGATACCAGACCCCCTGGGAATAGTTTTCTGACTCAGTCACCAAACCCATTAGGCTGGGTTCACACCTGGGCGTTTTTCCGCGCTTTCGTACTCGCGGAAAACCGCTCAAACAGGGAAATGCCATTATTTTCAATGTTCATGGTTCCCATCTGGGCGGTTTTCCGTGAGTACGAACGCGTAGGAAACCGCCCTGCGCCCAAAGAAGTACATGTACTTCTTTGGGGCGTTTTGGTCGGGCGTTTCCATTGGGATACAGCCAAGTAGCCCTCGGAAACGTGTGCGGTAAAAAAAACGCGCATATTCAATACGCCTAAGTGTGAACCCAGCCTTAGGGAAGAATCCAACATGTGGCATAGGGGGGTTTCCAACAAGTTAGGTTGGTGTCATGATTGCATTAACAGTGTTCCAGTAGATGTTTATATCCAAACTGTCGCATTACCAAATCCCACTGCAGTTTTATGGAAATAATCCACTCTGTGTGAAAACACTAAGGTCCCTTTCACATTATACAGTGCATTAATCCAGGTGTGTTTATGTAACACATTGAAGGGAATTTATCAAAACTGGAGCAGACAAAATCTGGACCAATCAGCTTCTCTCTGCAGTCTGTTCAGTTAAGATTTGAAAATGAAATAGAGAAGCTGATTGGCTGCCATGCACAGCTGCTCCAGATTGTGTCTGCTCCAGTTTTCATAAATTCCCCTCATTGTGTGTGAAGGCAGCCCATTAAAGGAGAACTATGGGGTCAGTGTTTTTCCCCATAGTTCTCCTTAGGGTGACAGGAGGACACAAACTAGCGTCCTCCCGTTACCCTAAGCTCAGTATACCGCGAGCTACAGCTCGCGGTATACTGAGAAGCCGCACCTGGAGCGGATCCCGACGTAGATGACGGGATCAGCCCAGCTGCGTGAGTGACAGCTGGCTCTGCCTATCTAGAGGCAGAGCCAGCTATACCCGCCCCTCCCCCGTCCGTTCCGCCAGTCAGCGCTGGCAGATCGGAGCGGGGAGAGGGGAATCCAGCCCGGTATGTGTTCGCTCACCTCCCGATCTACTGAGCCGACCTGTGACAGTCTCATTGTCACAGGTCGGCTAGAACTATGAGGTGAGTGGAAATCACTCATCTCATAGTTCTCCTTTAATTCGAACCTGCAGCTTTTTCTCCAACGCAAGACACAGATGGTTCACATCTATACGTTGTGGTGTTCTGGAACCTACGTGCACGGAGGTGCGCTGGTAAGGTGCGTTAGGGTGACATCCAAAATGAATTGCACTGCTTGTCATGTGTTATTGCGTGTTGTGGTGTAATGTGTCTTTCACTGTGCATTACTGCAACAAATAGGTGTGGATGGGCCCTTAATGTTTTTGGGGACTTATATGACTCTGGCAGTCCCTGCAATGCAAAAGATTCAAAGATGCGGCATATGTCTCCCAGTAAAAAGTTCTGAAACCAGTCATGAAACCTTTGTTCCATAGACATCCTTGGATAGATCCTAGAATGGGCCTGCTTGTGATGTGATGCTGGAATACTCACTACAGGTTACTCGGTTTCTTGGTGACAAATGGCAGATTATAGGGTTTTAGTGGTCACTATGTTTTCGTTTGAAGCTCATATCCATGCAAACAAAAAAAAAATCTACCCCTGCAGTGGGGCTACCCCTACAGTAAAATGGTTAGGTGCTCGTTTTTGTCTAACGTCTGGAGTATAGCTGTTTCTTTCTCATCCATTGAGGGGCACAGCTCTGAAGAAATATGATACATAGGGTTATGCTGCTGCCGTCAGGAGAAATCAATACTAGGCAAAAAATGAAAGGCTTGCCCCTGTAAGGTAATAACCCCTCCCATCTCCTACCTGCCAATTTTGCTTAGTGTCCTCAGGATAATGGATGTCTCCTTCTCTCCTGTTTGAATATTTCATCTGGATCCAGGCGAATGGTTCCCCATCCAGAGGTGTTTCAACAACTTTGTCTGTACCTGGTACGTCAGATGTGGATCTTCTGGCTTCTCATCTCAACAAGATGGTGGACAGATTTTTATCCAGGGAAAGGGATCCAACGGTGGATATAGTGGATGCCTTGATGGCTCCATGGGATTGGTACATCCTGATCTATGCCTTTCCTTCAGTGGCATTGTTGCTTCTTCTCCTTCGCAGCATTGAGCACGAAGGCGTTCCACTCATCACTCCAGACTGGCCTCACAGAGTGTGGTATGCCGGCCCTGGTTCATCTGGTGGCAGACGCTCCATGGCCTTTTCCCGATCAGCCACATCTGTTCTCTCGAGGACCTATCTTCCACCCTCCTTCTTGTTTGCTGGCTCTATTGGCCTGGCTGTTGAAACCCAGGTGTTCAAAGACAGGGATGTTATTCGGGCTATGCTTATTGGAGAACTATGAGGAGAACGTTGGAGAACGTCGGCCCAACAGATCGGAAAGTGAGCGAACACATACTGTCGTTTGCTCACTTCTCGATCATCTGCCTTCAGAGAGCCGTGAATGTCAGTCACGGCTCCTTGCAGGGATTCCCTGCTGACTGGAGGAACGGACGGGGAGGGGGCGTGTACAGCTGGCTCTGCCTCTAGATAGGCAGATCCAGCTGTCAATCACACAGCTGGGTGGATCTCGACAGTATATGTCCTCCCGTGACCCTTAAGAGAACTATTGGGAAAAACACTTACCTCATAGTTCTCTTTTAAATCTTACAAAAATCTTCTTCCCGTAAAATGTATTTTTATTTTATTTATTATTTTTTGAGGTGTGAGTCTTTGTGTTTTTCCCCTCCTGACATTTCTGTACTGTATATCATTTTTAATTGTGGGTAGAACAACATTCTTATTACAACACTGAGATTGATCATGTGAACATCGCAGGCAGCCATTTCCACTTAGCAAGTTGGGGATCATGTAAAGATGGCCATACCCTTATAATTTTTTTTCTTCTTGAGCCTGCAGACTGAACGAGAAAAAAAAAAGCTTGATCTCCCCTCAGACGGCAGGCACCCGTGGCTGTCAGAATAACCGAATTGTGACTGCACGCTGATTGGCTGCAGTCACTGTCCTTCTGACAATTTTCCACCCGACTCCTGATTTTTCAATTAAAGTTTGTCAAGACAAGTGTTGCAGGCAGGGCCCCCCACATTGTATGGCCAGCTTAGGTGAAATACATTTGTGAATTTAAAAACAAAGCAGGAGGTAAGAGTCCGCAATGCAGTTCTCTAAAATCCTTGCAATGTATATAACTGACATGGAGATGAATGTTGTTCTGTTTGACTTCACGGCTAAATCATTTTGCAGTTTCTTCTTAGTGGATGCAGACACCTTTTTTAATTATATTACATGTATTTGGGTAGGCGTGTGAAAAGTGTAAGACCCTGATGGCAGCATTGGAAGACAGCAAGATACAAATGAAACTCAAGAACAGAACAATTGAGGAGCTCCAATCACTGTGCCAAAGATTTGAAAATCAGCTGCAGGATCAAGTATGTCATATCCTCTTATTACATCTGCTAATTCTAGACATATATGTTAGACTACAGGCAGGGGAAGCAACTATCATTTATAATGGGTCAAGCTTAAATTTGCCAAATACAATGAAGGCAAGATGTTAATCATTTTAACCGTACTTTTGGTATTTTGTACTTTGACAGGTTTTGGTAATGTTTAGCCTTTTTTTTGTGTCCCATTGGGGAGGTGTCCCTTGACGCCCTGTTTTGGACACACAGAAGGAATTTAAGGGAAATCCCCTCTCAGTTGTCACTGAAGATCCTGTTCTAGGAAATGCCATAAATGTTTGGATTTATTACAGGTATTTATATAGCTCCAACTTTTTACGCAGAGCTTACATACTGCACATTCACATCAGTCCCTGCCCTCAAGGAGCTTACAATCTAAGGTCCCTAACTCACATGCATACATACAGGGCCAGACAGGAGCCAATTTACCTTCCAGTATGTCTTTGGAGTGTGGGAAGAAACCGGAGTACCTGGAGGAAACCCACACAAGCACAGGGAGAAAATGCAAACTGCTTACAGATAGTGACCTGGCTGGGATTAGAACTGGGGGCCCCCAAGGCAGAAGCGCCTAAATGCCATTTAGTTTTAGTCATATTTTAGTCATCTGAATTGTTTTAGATGGAGGAACAACAAGTCCCAGCAATAGTTCATTATACAGGGTGTTTAATGTATTATTGCTGGGATTTGTTGAAATATCATACATTTTTAGTTGACTAAATCTACAGTAGATTTAGTCTACTAAAATCTAGTGGGTTTAGTTAAATAGTAATTTAAGAATTTCTCTAGAATTTCCAATCTAATTATATACTCCTGGAGTAAACGTCTGTTAACCTGTTATTACTTATGGTATTAAGGTTTAAATATGCAATACAGATACACATTTAACTGTTGTGATATATAACATGTCTTTATTTATCTTAAAATGAGATTAAACCAAGTCTTATAAACAAACAATAATATTGAGTATTTTCAACAAAGAACCAGTTATTAGATATGTATTAATTAGAACAACTTGCATACAACATTCTTCATTCTTTGAATGAAGTGCAACTCTAAACTCTGAAAAACTATATTGTCTGTGATGCCATTGTACATATTACCTATTACACGTCCGTTCAGGATGGAACTGGAAGTCCAAAGAGATTAGTTCCGATTTGATCTCTTCCCAAATTGTCTCTCCCTAACATTTTGGTCTCTTGTTAGTCGACTAAAATGTAAATATATTTTCGCTATAGTTTTAGTCATCATAACTTAGTTTCTATTTAGTTTTGGTCACTGAAAAAGGTGTTGTTGACGAAAACTATTGCGAAAATTATTAGTCAACAAAATGAACACTGCTCTCACCTATGGTAAGAATGGTCACCAGGACAAATAGGGAGGGTCAATCTCCTTTGGGGAGGGGGGCAAAGAAAGCAACAAAACCTGACAGGGTTCTAACACTTTCACACTCCATCCTGAACTAAAAAAAAAAAAAGGAGATGAGCTAAGACCAGTGCTGTAAAGCATTGGCAGTAATAGTCACCAAATAATTTTTAAAGCTGACATTGATTTTGCTTATATGTTGCCTTCTCGGGTTCCACATTTCCCCTCCATCAACATACAAATTACATTATTCAATAAAACCTTTCTGTTTTCATTGATGATGTTGATTGATGTTTTGAGTGATCTCTGTGCTTCTCTATGTGGTTGCAGATTATAGCTGGTGGAAGGGACTAAACATAGCTTCCTGAAAGCAGGATCCTGTAGCAATGCCCAGGCAGTGGGCTAGCACATTATAAAACAAGGTCAGAATTTCTCTAATAACAGGTTAGCTTTAACTACTTCAGGACCGCCCACTGTAAAAAAAAAAAAAGTCCTGATCCTGAAGCAGTTATACCAGGAAAACAGCAGCTGCTGCAGCCATGTTCTTGGTATTGTTTTAAACAACCGGCGGTGGCTGTTTAGATACAACTGATCCAGCGGCTGTTCTTCTACCGTGCAGCAGTGTGCCCCCCGGCTACCCCAGGCTCCACTGTGCCCTGTGCAGGCCCAGGACCGGCATGGCGGGTCTCCCCTCACCGATTGGAGGGGGATCAGTAAGTTTCTAGCCGCTGATCTCTCCTCTGATCACTGGATCCGGAAGTGATGTGTATTACAACACTTCCGGTGTCACTGTTTACATTCTCCGGCAACTGCAGCCAGAAGAAGCTGGTGAAGCAGATTGCTTCTGACAGACACCTGATGTCTCCATAAAGAGGACCTGTCTCCATAAAGAGGCAGTCATACTTTTTATAGCCCCTTTTTGTTATAGTTGTCTTATCTTTAATATGTGCTTACCTGAGCCTGATAATAACAGCAATCCACGAGAGGCCTTTTCTGTTAGCGTATTTATAATATATCAGTTTGTAGTTTGGGGAGTTGTTTGCTAAAAATACAAAATGTGTATATGTCCGGTCTATAGCCACTGTTAAATCTAGGCAGGCAAACCGTAAGGGCTGATTCAGACGGGCGTACACCTCCATATGGTGTGCACGCCCATAAAAAGACCCTATTTTGGAAGGGACAGGTGCTGCGTGTAATTGCACATCCACACGGGTCCATTGTCTGACAGCATGTAATTGCATGCAGCCACGTCTTCCCATAGGGAAGAACAGGCTGCTGTGTGAAATTACACACAGCACCTGTCCCTTCCAGGAACGGATATTTTTATGGGCGTGCATGCCGTATGGACATGTATGCCCGTCTGAATGAAGCCTTAAAGGTATAGTTGAACTAAAATAGTCATGGATGTTTGTTAATAATGCTTGTCTATAGCCTGTTAGGACTGCTTGTTGTACTGAGCTATCCACGTATTTGTTTCTAGGAGAAATTACAGAAATTACTTTTGGCCAAAAACAGAGATGTGAAATAGCCAGCAAGAGCACCTACATCGGAAAATATATACCGTACTCAACAGCTACTGCAGGAACAACTATGACAGAATCACCTTGTGTCATTTTACAGTGATCTGCTATCATTTGGATACAATTTTTTAGAGTATCACTATTTTAATCCATAAATTCAAATCCATATTAACCCCTTCCCAACCAATGACAGGATTATCCCATCAAGATTGCTCCGTTGATTAATGGCCGGAGACGGGATAATCCTGTACTGTCATGCAGTACAATAAACTCTGGGCACTCAGCACTCATCGAGTCACCGGTGTTGATGGGTCCTTCGAGGTCCAAGGCAGACCCTCAACAGCAGATGAGATGGTCACAGCACTATGATCACAGCGATCATAGAGCCGTGACAGCCACACAGCCACTCACTGTGTTGTGTGCAAATGCGAGCCGGATGTGTGTTACTTTGTATCAGTTTGTATCTCCGAGGAGAATATTGTATTCTCCTCAGAGATACTAAGTATCAAAGCCCCTATAAATGTCCTCTATTTAAAAAAAATAAAATACAATGTAAAAATGAAAAAAAAGTTTACATTTTTTAAAGTCAAAGTTTTTAAATACATTTAATATACAAATTATAAAAACATATAGTGCCGGGAAGGCTATTAAAGATAGGAGACAAACATACCACTTTCTAAAATAAAATTGTTCCACACTAAAACTGTATTTCACTCCTTGTATTTTGTGACCTATAACTCCCTAAATAAACTGAAATCCCAGACATATGATATACCCTACAAATCAGGACAAATAAAATAATTTACGTGTAGCTGCAGTGCATGAGCAAGATGGAGATTAAGGTTAAACAAACACATAGCAAAAATGGCAAAATGTATCTGGTCCCCAGGAACTAAAACATTTTTGGAAGCGGTGTCACTAAGGGGTTAATATATTTTCTTTTACTTCCTGGCACATATGACTAGGACATGTGACCATGCACATCATCTCAGGGGAGGAAAAAGCCTTTCCCTGAGATCTAATGACATTACAGATGAGATTTGCCAGCACTTCCCAGAAAGTAACGTTTGGGCACATCACTAATCTCTATGAGGACCAGGAAGTGGAAAACCAATAATTGTAAGTAAAAGAAAATATGTTTAACGAATGAATGTAAGAGCTGCATGCTGAGGTGATTTTTAGTGGAACGGGGTAAAAGTCTGCTATAAAGGTTGACTTAGCAACCGCTCACACAGCGAACAGCTCAGCAAATGAGATTCACAGTGCATTATGACCACTAGATGGAGTCAAGCAGTATGGGAACTGTAGCGGCCATAATGTGCTGCGTATCTCACTCACAGAGCTCTTCACTGTGCAAATAGTTTAAAAATGAACCCCCGAGTGTAATTAAACCCATTTCATTAAAAGAGAACTATGAGGTGAGTGATTTTCACTCATCCTCATAGTTAGAGCCGACGTGTGACAATGAAACTGTCACACGTCGGCTCTATCAATCGGGAAGTGAGTGAACACATACCATCGCTCGCTCACTTTCTGATCATCTCCCTGCAGAGCGGTGACTGTCAGTCACTGCTTCCCGCAGGGATTCCCCTCTGTAGATAGGCAGAGGCAGCTGTCACTCACGCAGCTGGGTGGATCCAGACCGTATTGTTGGGATCCATCCCAGCTGCGGCGCTCTCAGTATATAGTGGGCAATAGCGTGCTATATTCTGATCTTTGGGTCACCCGAGGAGGTTAGTATATGTCCTCCTGTGACTCTATAGAGACCCTATAGAGGAAAGGTTACCCCATAGTTCTCTTTTAAATTTGTTTTCACATAGCCACACTTACATTTTTCCTCATCTCTGCAGTCATTTTGGGGATTGTCCCCTCCTTGTTGCAATTTATCATTCGTTACATGTTTAGACCCCCCTCATGCCACCCTGACTTCTGTTTCTGCGGTGGCTCTGGTCTCCTCTAGCCGCCTCTCTATGGATGCCTGCAGATGCTTTGCACACGCACAGGCAACACAGAGAAAAGAAGAGAGAAGGGCGCCCACCCTAGTGTAGATGGTTTTTAATAATGTGAGCTAAAGGCAACACAGAGATGCTGGAGGCGAAGGCAACTTAGGATCTGCCCACCTCCCCGGCCACATGCATCATGGGATGTGTAGTTCTGTAATAGGGTATGGGGGAAGGTGTGTGTGTGCAGGCACACTGAACAGAAGGGGGAAGCGCCACACCAGACGCTGGAGGGGTTGAAATATCAGAACGGTAAATGCAACATTTAATAAGCCACTATTTAAAAAAAAAAAAAAGTATTATTGACAACACCAAAAGGCATTTTTTTAAATTGTTTTAACAAAGTGTTGAATACTACTTTAATGACTTGACTACCCCCACCCCAAAAAAGCAAATTGAAAACATTAAAACAATTAAAGATTATTAGAAAAAATACCTTCCACCTAAAGCAGATCATACAATTAGACTTCAAGGTGTATGGTCAGCTTTACACTAGGCTAGGGAATATTATTTTTAGATTGGCGATTGGTCATTGACTCTCATACTCTAAGTCAGGGGTCTTAAACTCAATTCACTCGGGGGCCACTCGACAAATGTTTTCCTCCCATGGGGGCCGCTCGCCAAATGTCATACTTTAAAATAAAATGTAACTATATCCGGTTTGGTGCTCACACAAATACACACACACAATAAGGCCCTATTCATATCTATAAGTTTAGGTGCAATTAGGGATTCCTGCATCACAAACTTGCGTTTTCCTCCAGCAGGAATCACTAATTCGTAATTGGTGTTTACAAGCAGCAGCTGCCACCCATTCAGGTTAATGATCAGGTGACAGCAGTTGCAGTAAACGCCTGCACACCGCATGTAATGATACGTGATATTATTACATGCGGTTTTGGAATCACTCTCCCTGGATGCACAATCATTGCGTCCAGGGAGAGTGATTGATAGGCTGTGAGGAGGCACGAGCCGTTGTAAATGATTAGTAAGGTCTGCTGCAGACCTCACTAATCAATACGAGTGCCGCCGCAGAAGCAGCTATGCGGTCTGCATCCAACAGAGATGCAGGCCGTGTAGCTGCTCCCGAAAGTAGGGCACGCGGTCTGTGACCGCGTACCTGACCTATGAGCTCGCTGCAGGCGACATAGTACCAGCTCGTGGGCCGCAATTGGTCCACGGGCCGGTACTTTGAGCCCACTGCTCTAAGTTTTGCAGAATGTGGGCAGAGTGAATACTGAAGACTCAGTGGTTTCTGATTGCTGGAAGAGAGCAGTTCATGGGCAATTCATTACACTGGATCTTTACACAAATGGTAATCTTGCCGAGCTGGATAAAGAGTAATGGAAGGGCAGAATTCGTTTTCTTGGAGAAAATGCTCCAGCATGCTCCCTCCAGTGCTGCTCACTTGACCAGAAGCCTTGATATGAAATAATGAGGATCTGTGCTGAAGAAGTGAATAAGCAGGGTCACGTTTTGTTTTAAAAACAGTTTTAAAGTGAAAATGTGTCAAAAATAATGTACAGGCAGTCCCCAGGTTACGGACGTCCGACTTACGGACAATCCGTACTTACGAATAATCCGTACTTGCGAACCGGGGGTCCACTCCACAGTTCTCGTAAATGTATCGGTGGCCGCCTGTACATTGAGGAGAACTGTGGCTGCAGTGGCCTGTGTCCCCGCTGCTCTTCCCGCCTGTGTTGGCGGAGGCAGCGGGGACACAGACCGCTGCATTCCTACGCTGCCCCCCTTACCTCCGCTGATGTCCCGGCCTCCTCTTCCGCCGATCCGTCGGCTTCCCTGGTCCGGACGATCCTCCGCTCTCTTGGTCCGGCCGTGGCTCCTCTGCCCGCCCCCTGCCTCCTCTTCATTGCAGGCTGGGAGCCATACCCAGCCTGCTGTTGGCTATTGTAAAATGCAATAGCCAATAGCAAGCTGGCTATTGATCCCAACATTAAAATAAAAAAAAACAAAATAAAATTATAAAGACAAAAAAAGTTAATAAAAAAATAAGTTTATAAAATAAAAAAAACTTTTTTTGGCGTCATTTTAAATAAAACATTTTTTTAGTTATATTATAATATTCTGAGCAGCAGTAACGGACAACAAAACAAATGCGACCCTTCCCTTTGCTATCCAAAACCAAATAATGTTTTTTTGGCTGGAGTTACACTTAAAACATTTACCTGTTCCGACTTAAACACAAATTCAACTTAAGTACAAACCTAAAGTCCCTATCTTGTATGTAACCCGGGGACTGCCTGTATTTCAAGCAATAAATACACAACTCTTGCTCTTAATAAAATATAACCTTTTATTGAAGTAATTCCGATCAGCAGATGTGTCTAAAGATTTGGAATAATTGTTATATACAACAGCTTCCAGACATCACTAGAAACAGGAATATATCAACTCTCTGCATTGGGGGTCATGATGTGCTTTAGCAGCAACAAGAGTATTGGAGTTCCTGTGTTAGAAGCGCAGATCATATTCTGTTAGATTATAACAAATGTGACTGAAATCACCGATTGTGACCACTCAATACAATAAACATCCAACAGGACTCATTATTAGCTTACCATTTGTGTAATCAGAAGCATTTGTGTTTACCAAACAAGCAGTGCTGCAATCAGATGGCCCTTGGCATGGAACAATACACGTACCTTCTGTACGGAAAGTATAGCCTGTTCAAAGTTTCTCTTATTTGTTTTTAAACCTACCAAACATCAGATTCATCCAATTAATCCCATCAGTGTGGATGTTTCTGAAAAAATTGGATCTGCGTTAGTTTGTAATTACATATGTGCATGGGGGCAACCATAGTTACAGCTGATGTGTGACACTGAAACTGTCACATGTCAGCTCTATTGATCAGGAAGTGAGCGAAAACATACCGCCGATCCGCTCACTTCCTGATTATCTCCCTGCAGAGAATGGTGACTGTCAGTCACCGCTCCCCACAGGGATTCCCCCCCCTCCGATCTTCCAGCACTGACTGGAGGGATGGATGAGGGAGCGGGCGGGCATAGCTGACTCTGCTTCTAGATAGGCAGAGCCTGCTTTCAATCAGCCAGTGGGTGGATCTCGACAGTATTGTCAGGATCTGTCATTGCAGCGGCACTCTCAGCATTGCCCGCTATATGCTGAGTCTTGAGTCACGGGATTAGGTTAGTATATGTCCTCCTGTGACTCTAAGGCTTATGTTTAAAGTCCAGCCTGGGTGGCGGCAACCATGGCTTTCCGCCTAGATATAGTGGAGGAGTGAGTGTAGCCACCCAGCGTCACGCAGTGTGTTTTTTTGCAGGATAAAATAAGGGGGGTGGGGCTGAGAGAATGCAGCAACCTTTTTTGGCTTCAGATAAGCTTTAAAGCTCTCAAAATGTATAGAGCTTTATATGCCCATGTAGCCTAGCCCCATGATAAATGATGCAGTCATACATGCACAGCTCAACACTGCAGCAGAATCTGGTGGCTCAAAAATGCAAGGGTTAACTGGTCGTTTGTGTCTGGGTTCAAATGGAAAAAAAAAAAGTTACCTCGGAGCTGGCTTGTTCTTAGACCGGTCCTTCCAACGCCTCTCCCCCTCCTCTACAGCGGTCTAAGGTCCTGTAAATCATCAACATCTATACGCAGTGTATGGACGCAAGGACGCTAAAGGAATATTCCAATGCTGCAGGGAGGAGGGCCGGGCTGGAGGGAGCGCCATGACAGCTGGCCAGCTTGGAGCTTCAGGTGAGTATAACTGGGTTATTTTAGCACCTAGACACAAACAAGTACTTAACCCTTTCAGTGCGGGGGGAGCCCAACTACAAGGCTTAATTTTAAAAAAATCCTGGGAGTTCTTCCTTAAAGTGACATTAAACCCTCAGATTTTTTAACATAAACCAATACTGTAATGTGTGCCTCACTGTAATCCATGGTTGTTTCCCTTCTCTTTGCTGCTCTTCCTTTTAAATCTGTATCTGTTCTCATGCTTGGGGAGAACTTCTGTTTTGCAGCAGACTGCCTTGTCTCAGGAATGGATACATGGTGGCTGTGTGTACGTTTGAAACCTGAGCCAGCACTACAGGAAGAGGCCCTGAGCTGCAAAAGGAAGTTCTCCCCCAGCATGAGAAGACATGAGGATTTAAAAAGGAAGAGCAGCAAAGAGAAGGGAAACAATGGATTACAGTAAGGCACACATTACAGTATTGGTTTATGTTAAAAAATCTGAGGGTTTAATGTCACTTTAAGCTGTACAATCTCCTTTGGGTCATCCAACAACTACGTAGTGGAAAGGCCTGCCTGATTGGATGCAAACTAATGGTCTTCTTTAGGTAGGTCCTCACAGTTCAAGTTTTGATTAATCTAAAGCTATTATACAATCAGATTGTATCGTGTATAGCTAGACTAACTCTCTACAATGCTTTGCTCTGTTTAATACTGAGTGTATGGCAGATGATCGGCAGAAGTGAATCTTGCAGCTCTGTTCACTATAGAGAAGAATGGAAGATGTCAGCGGAACAGCCAGGGAACAAGCTGCGTCTCATGCACTTGCAGCACATGCCTATTTGAATGAGACCTCATGCTGCATACATATCCTTGCTTCCCTTATTCCAGTGAGACTATTCCTGCTGAAATCGGCCAAAATTTGCTCCATTTGTACCCTACGTAAAGATAAACTTTGTACAACAAACCTCTGAAAGCAGCTCATTCTTCAATAAACACTAAATAAAATGTCTCCCCATGCTGGAGCTTTCATTTCAGTTATAAGTACAACATGCAGCTTCCAATCTTCTGTCTATATTGTGTGACTCTACCAATGCAGGGACGTAGGACTTGTATATGGATACATCAGCAAAGCATGGGCTCTGTTTAGCTGGCTGTTGAACCAAGGTCACACTTGGCATGCCACAAACAACGTGCCATCATATGAACGCAGCTTCGCTCTTATTCCTAAAGCAATCATGTTTAGACACAAAATATACAGAACAATTGTGTTATTTGAACATTTCTTATGATATGACTTTTAGAGAATTAGAAATGGTAGAACTTGAATCGTTCAAACACCATCTTTCCTCAAAAGTGCCATTCACAAATTAACATGAAATCATATTTTTCATTCTCCTTACCAGTATTTTCAAAAGAAGACAAAACATATTCTAAAAGGGAGTTAACAGTAATAAAGAAAAGCTAAACTGTGTGAAGAGAAATATAAGGGGGGCAACATTGCTGCTGAGGGATTATTATGGCATACCCCAAATACACACATTTCCAACAGAAAAAAGGGAAACTTTGACTATTAGAGCCAATGTAAGCCATGATTGAACATTGGCAAATACCTTTGTTCAATGCTAAATCTTACCCGCTAGCTCAATACTACATTCTAGGGATGCACAGATACTTTTCGAGTACCAGTGCCGATACTTGGCATTTTCATGAGAACTACCAGGGTTGCAGAGGTTGCAGCTGGGACCGGGCTCTGGTGCTCCACCACTGTCCTGAAATTATTAGTCTGTATTGTTTTAGAAAAACTGTCACATGACAATAAACAAAAATGTATCAGTACTCGTACTTGTAAGTACTCGGCAAGTACCAGTACTCGCAAAACTGGTATCTGTGCATCCCTTTATTTATAAAAACAAAATCGTACATTAAAACAGAGATGTACAAATCCCAGGAGCTCCGTATGCTCCTTACAAGTGACAGCTGCCTCCTAATTTTTGAATTTTTCTCTAGTGTAGTCTTGGAGCTCAAAAGTATCGGTACATGTACTCGTACTTGTACCGAGTACTGTACTTGGTATCTGTGCAAACCTACTACATTCCATTCCAGAACACAAGGAGGATGCTAGATGGCTGCAGTATTCTATCACAATGGCAAATAAGTGCCAAGTAGTGCAGAAATGTCACTTTAAATCTAACAACATATGGCCGTTATGGTGTTTGTGCTGCAAATAAAGAGTAAATCTGAACAAAATAGAGTCAACAAAGCAAAATTGAAAAAAAAAAAGATGAAATGAAAGGGACACTAAACTCAGGAGTCCATCACAGGAGTGAGCTTGGAGCGGTGACTACTTTACAACACACACAGGGACCATGGGGAACAAACGTAGTCACCCTCCAGAGGGAAGGACAGTGTCAGCACCAATTCAGAGATGATTGGAGGATCTACAGCCGAGTGATACACAAATAAGATGCATTTTTGTTAATAGTTAAGGTACTTGGATGCATTTCTAAGATTTAACTCCTGAGTTTAGAGTAGGGATGCACCGATACCAGTTTTTCGGTATTGAGATTGAATACCCATACCGGAACTTCCGGTCACAGGGCCATAATATGTGTAATGACTTGCCGCCTGACTTCCTGATTAGCCGGGAAGCTGTCTCCAAGCTCCCTCGTCACCAGGTGCAGAGAATAGGCAGGCCGATAGTCTCATTATTCTGGCATGCATTAAAAATACATTCCGCAGCGCACTTCCCAACCTGTGTACCGGGAGCCGCCATGTTTCTGTGTCTAGAAGCTGCGCTTTGAAATCACGCTCAAATCCCAGGGCTGCCACACTGCTCAGATTCTGCAAAAGTTACTTTTCCTGCACGGGGGCTGCTTCTAACACCATCCGTTCACTCGTGGCAAAAACACAGCAAGTCCCTGTTTACTCACTGCCCAATCAGCAAGCTGGGCGGCGAGACATTACCTGCCCCTCTGACTGGCTGGGAAGCCAGCATCATGCTCCCTTGCGACGAGGGAGCATGGAACCGGCTTCCCGGCCAATCAGGAAGCTGGGTGGTGTGTAATGACTCGCTGCCCGGCTTCCCGATTGGCCAGGAAGCCAGCTTTATGCTCCCTCACCAAACTGCTGGTCAGAGGGAATATCCCTCTAACCGGAAGTTTCAGTATCGGAGCATTTGGGCGAGTACGAGTAGTCGCCCAAATACTTGACATTGGTGCATCCCCAGTTTAGAGTCACTTTAAGAAGCATAAGTGAAGGTTTGTACTGTGTTGCTGTACTTACCACTCTATGTTATCAGAGCTACTATCTAGGTCGAAGAGAAATGTCAAAACTCTGTAATATTACTACCAATGACTGTGACTGGCAGACACAACACCAATTCACACCCGACCACACTCCAACAAAATAGAAATCTCTTTGGGGTCCCATATCTGACTAAAGGGACACAGCAGCAGCAGGTACTGCCGCTGACCTTCCTCACTATAGTGCATATATCTCCAAACTGAACATGGGAGTGAACCAAATGCCCACAGGGCTAGGACCAATGACTGCTGCAGTACAGCCCCCAGACTGATTCAACACCGCTATACAACCTATTTCAGTGCTAACAATTACCAATGTCCGTGGCCTTGCTCTCTAGGCAATATTAGAAGATTGTTGTGGACTTTTGTTCTTTACCTTTCTAAAGTAGAGGATTAACCTTCCAGTAAATGTTTCTGTTCTAGAGGAATCAAAGTACTAAAGTGAAGACTGCCAAGGACGGCAAAGCAAGGCCGTACTGAGTGCTACGACTTAGAATAACTTAATTGTGGTGTATCACATCACCTAAGATAAATATCCGGCAACAAGTGCACAATTACAAACTAATTAGGAGTTTATTTGTACTATTAAATATGCCAGTATTTCCATACATATATTAATTAGAAGCCGAGAAGAAAGTTCCCTTTGATTACATCTAGAGGCCAGTGTGGTGTTAGGTGAAGGAGTTAAGCATCCCTTGCTCTACAGTTACAGTAATTGGGAGAATCTCCCAACATATATACTGGCAGATGACTATAGTAGCAGTAAGTGGGCTGGTTAGGATGGGACACTGTATATTCCTCTGCTCACCAACTGCACTACAGATATTCATGAATATCAGGGGACAACAGTAACTTTAGAACCGTTGACACAGCATAACACTGCCGTTCTCCCAACACAGATATTTATAGATCAAATGTGTCCCTATGGCTTGTACTTGTTTCAACACCGTGCCCTGTGCTGCTCGTATCCACAAAAACTGACTCGAGTGCAGCGTCCTGATCTTCCAGTGTGGCTACGGATGAGGCTGCGCCCAGGGACGGGTCGTTGGGGAACGCTTCCTGTTCCGGTCTTTTCTCAGCCTCTTCGGCTTTGCGCCCTCTTCGTTTGCCAAGGATTTTGATGTAGTTGGCGGGAACAAATCCTGTAGTTTGCCCATCCACGCTTCCAAGCAGCCAGCCTCTTAAGTTAGGTTGTTGTTCTGGAAACAAATACAGGTACGGAATTGTAGCTTATAATAAAACCTTACTGCAAATAATGTTATCAATGTTACATTCCAACTTTGGAACATTAGGTATAGAAGCTGTGGTAGATCCTTCTACTGATTAGTGGAGGAGGGAAAACAAATCACAACAGTGTGGACAATCCATCTTGATAATAGGGTGCAGAGTTCAGCCGAGACCTCTCCTTATCGTATGACAAAGATGAGCACTCCTTGTTGTCAGTAAGAAGCTCATAAGACACCACCAGTCATGCAAGATACAACAATAATCAGTAGACAGGAGGATGGTACCTGTGAATAGGAATCCAGGGGATGGATAATTCACACACATTGATCATCATTACTTTTATTAATCCAGCAATGCTCTTTTCTATGTGAGCTGCCCATACGAATGTGTCAACAATATGACAAACAGAAAGTCAAACCACCACCAGACTACCACCATCTTCTTCTATCCAGCAGATAAGAGGGAGGAGATGAAAAAAGAATTACCTTTGGGTGCCAGGTTTAGCATGTCGCCAGCATGGAAAGAAATCTCCTCATCTGAAGTAGCTATGAAGTCATATTCTGCTCTTCCCACAACATGGTCACCTTCCCCACTTGCCCAGTTCATATTTTCTAGAGAAGATAAGAAGAAAAAAGAGCAATTAAGAACTTACTGAAACTGACTGGGAGGAAATATAGGCCACAATAGCCAAATGCTCCATTACCATTCCTTTCTAGAAATTGCATATAAGGTGGTGTGCTAATCTGATTAACTCAGCCCTTCATTATAACCTGCCCAAAAACCCGGAAGAAGCACTACTTAAAGCGGGCCTTTACACTCAAAAATCAAATTCTACCAATGCATCCCTCAATGTATGATGGTTAATAATAACATAGACACAGGGGTGTGGAATTCCTATCGCCCGACGCCCGGGACATGCACTTTCGTTTGCCGGGCGAGTCGTTTTTTTGTACACTTAGCCCAGCTCTGGACAAGCAGAGCTAAATGTACAGCGTGGAGCCGCCGCTCACTTTTATACAAGTGATCTGATCACTTGTATGAAAGGAGCAGCAGCGATCGTGTCTGCCCGCCCCCCCCCCCCAAGTCATCACATTCTATACACAGTGTATAGGACATAAGGGGCATACCATCACTGCAGCCAAGGAGACAGGCAGGAGTGAGTGCTGCCACAGGCAACTGGCTCCAGGGATCTAGTGAGTATAACTATGTTATTGTTAACCCTAGACAAAAGCAAGCACTTAACCCTTGTAGTGGGGCTAGTTAATATAATTGTTACCCAGGGTTCTCCTTTAAGTATTACAGAATCACATTGGGGGAAATTAATAAAAACTGGTTGCCCATAGCAACCTATTAGCTTCTTTCATTATTTTCACACAGCTTAGAAAATTAAAAAGGTAAAAGCTGAACGTCTCAACTGGAGAGCAGCCAACGTCTCAACGCGCCCATACACTGGCCCGAATTTCAGACGCTTTGTAATGTACCGGCCGAAATTCGCACAGTGTGTGGGGCTGTCGGCTCCCTTTCAGCCAGCATTCCTCAATCAGTTGATCGAAGGAGTCGGCTGGAAAATCTTCGTGCGATCAGAGGCGGCAGCCAATGAGCTACGCTCTGGTCGGGTATTCTGTATCAGAATACAATGCAAAACAGTGGCGATTCCTCAATCGACACGCTGTTTGTGTTGACGGAGGAATCGTGTCAATTTTTCTCGTTCAGCCCGTGGGTCGCATGAAAAAAACTGACAGTTGTATGGCCAGCCTCAGACAATTTTTTATGAATTCCTCCCCATTGTGCGCAATGGTCTTTGCTCCTGTGTACTGTATGAAACAATACCTGTGAAACATATCTTATTATTCATCAATGATTATGCAATTACTTTGTTCTCTACGAACAATAGAAACCATTGGAACAGAGAAAATGCATGATGAGTTTGGTTATATAATCAGAGGATACAGAGAACTGCACTGTCACTAAGGAGTATGTCTGTGTACTTTGCACCGCAGCCCATGAATATATTCCATTATGACGTGTTACCTACTAAACATGAATCCTGCTTCCGGCAGCATGACTTACTCCGGTGTTCGCATCTATCCAGAAAAGTTATTCCTGATCACCACTAGAAGGTATTATTTGCAGACAAAACCTGTTCTGCTTTCAGCTACATGAGCAAATCTGCCTTATGGCAGTAGATTGTTCCAGCACGAGGTACTCAGAGCCAGGAGGTTGCCGGCAGCATTGCTGGAAACAGCACAACTCCTCAGTAACACATCATGCGCCATTTTGATTTATCAGTTTTAGTGAAGTGCACTTCACATTACCTCCTAACTGCTGGTACCCCACGTTGCCTTGTGGGCACATTCAGAAAACTCCAAATGTTCTTGTGTGTCCCTCCATGTACACTGTAACTGGGGGACTCACCTCCTAGCTGCAGTATGCCCCATCCTAACAACTCACAACACCCCAGTGGCACTGTGCAACTTGGATACAGGGCTCCCTAGTAGCGCACAATAGAATTAGAGTTGAAGAGAAGCAATATTGGCAATCACCTTGAGGTGGCTGCAGTTCGGCACTAACGTTAGTTTGAAATGTTTGTGGACAAACAGCTGGAGTTGGCTACCCCTGGTCTAGTAGGTACAGGACATGGCATTCCTATTCTATTGCATTCTTTATACAAATGTATTTAAAAAAAAAAAAAGAATTCTGGCTGGTGACAACTAGGAATGTGCCGATACCGAGTATTTGGGCGAGTACTCATCCAAATGCTCTGATACTTACCTCTGATACCAGAACTTCTGGTGAGAGGAGATCTCCCTCTGACTGGCAGTGCTGAGAGAGCATGGAGCTGGCTTCCTTTCCAATCAGGAAGCCCCGGGTGGTGGGTTATGACCCGCCTCCCTGATTGGTCAGGAAGCCAGGCTGCCTAGAAACAAGTGAAGCCAATCAGGAAGCCGGGAGACGGGTCATCACATGCCATCCAGTTTCCGGATTGGCTAGGAAGCAAACTTCATGTGTTGCTAAGGATCCTCACGACTCACCGCCCGGCTTCCTGATTGGTCAGGAAGCCTCGTCAAGTCAAGCTGGTGTTCTTTCGCTAGAACACCGGCTTCACAGGCAATCAGGAAGCCGGGAGATGGGTCATCACATGCCATCCAGTTTCCGGATTGGCTAGGAAGCAGACTTCATGTGTTGCTAAGGATCCTCCCGACTCACCGCCCGCCTTCCTGATTGGTCAGGAAGCCAGGCAGCCTCGACAAGTCAAGCTGGTGTTCTTTCGCTAGAACACCGGCTTCACAGGCAATCAGGAAGCCGGGCGACGGTTCATGAACGGTTCGGTGGAGAACACCCAGCAAACACCACTTCAAACTTGTCACTGTATTCTGTATTTACAAGTTCATTTCACAATGGCTTGAGCAACATCAAAGCCCAGGAGATATGGTTCCCGTGGGCCCCTAAAGCAGTGGTGGCGAACCTTGGCACTCCAGCTGTGCCAAAACTACAAATCCCAACATGCATCTGCCTCTGGGAGTCATGTCTGTGGCTGTCAGAGCCTTGCAATGCCTCATGGGAATTGTAGTTCCAAAACAGCTGGAGGGCCAAGGTTCGCCACCACTGCCCTAAAGGATATTCAATCTCAATGGATGATGTCAGTTTTATCTGGAATTAGCGTAGGGAAAAAAAAAATGAGGGCGCTGCTCCTTTAAAGTAGAACTCTGGGCAAAACTTTTGTTAGCACTTGCCGTGGGGCTGCACCCACACTGCAAGTTTTAACTGGTTGTTTTTGTCTATGGGTTATAAAAACTACAGAGAGTCAGCACCCTGCATCTCTGGTCCCTTAAGCCTGTCTCCTCCTACGTTTCAGCATTGAAATGTTCTTCTGCGTCCTCATGTGTATACACAGTGTATAGAATGTTATAATTTAAGGGACCCAAGACTGCTACAGAGGAGGGGGAGAGAGGCTGGAAGGACCGGTCCAAAAGCAAGCCGGCTCCGCGGCTTAGGTGAGTATAACTTCTTTTTTTAGTACCTAGACAAAAAAGGAGCAGTTAACCCTTGCAGTGCGGGGGTAGGCCCACTGTAAGGGTTAAGAAAAATGCTGCCCCGAGTTCTACTTTAATAATAAACAAGCAAAAGTGTCTCCATTTGCTATACAGGGTGAACTGTTTTTGCCAGTAAATGTTTCATATGGTAGAGGGGCAGTAAAAGGATCAGTGGGGCCTGTAGAGGGATATCAGTTGTGTCAATGTCATGTGACCAGAGGCTGCTGTAGACCAGGACATCCTCTTCCTGTTTGCAGAAACGTACGAGTGTAATGCTGGAAAATTGCGCACTATGCTGGTCTCTGCCATTCATATGAGGACAAGTGCTGTCATAGTTGTGTAGAGGGAGCTTATGGCGCAGGATTTGGTATTTGTCACCCGAATATTTCCCTGGAAGGGCAGAGCAAACACACCCCCAACTCACTTCCTGGGTCTTGGTTTAATACAACTATAGGAAGGGACACATTTTTGCTAACTTCTCCCTGTAAGGTTTTCTAGAAGGACCAACGTTTATAAGCTTTTCATGCAAATGAGAACAAGTTACCCCGAGTGGTAAAGGCCACCGGCTCCATTTCCCATTTACCTTCATGACTTTCGGCATTGCCAGAAGACAACAGCTTCCAGATGAGGTAGGGGCCCCCGAGGATGACAGCGAAGAATAAGAAAATAGGCCACGACTTGGCAGATTGGGTGGCATCGTTCTCCGCACCGAGGCGAGCCACATTGCCCGCGCTCTCACTCCACAAATCCTCATTTTCGGAACCTTTCCGTAGACCTAGAAGTCTCTGCAAACGTCGGTACAGGAACCGGATCGTTCTGACGAGCGCAAACGCGGAAAACACTTTAGTAAAGTGGACCCTCAGCCGGGAGAAGTGGTTTGCCACATCCAGAACTGCCCTGAAACTATTATAAACGGCAGAGAAAGTGGCATCCATCATCATGCTGACTGAGGCGAAGGCTTGGACGATGCTTTCGATGGACTGGAAGGCTCCGCGGCTGCTTTCTTCAGCTTGCCGGACAAACCTGCTGGGAGACGCCTCATCTGTCTGGAAGCGGTTATAGCCCAGCGCATTGCCGTAGCCGTAGCTGTATGGGCTGTGGCCACCGTACAACGAACTGCCGTAGGAGCCGTAAGAGCCATAGCCAGGTGAGAAGGAGCTGTATGCAGGTCGGTAGGTATTGAGGGAACTTGTTCTGGTTTGCTGAGAAGGTCTGGGGAGTACAGGTGGAGGGACCCTGGTAAGTGCCGGCTGTCCTGGTCTGGTAAGAGTGCTCGCCCTCAAATCAGCTGACCTGAAACAACACAAAATACACAAAGTTCTCTCATATATACTGTACATAGTCCATGCAGGTACACAGTGTTCATGCTTTACCCTGCAGTTACATTGTGTTCATGCTTTACCCTGCAGTTACATTGTGTTCATGCTTTATCCTGCAGTTACACTGTGTTCATGCTTTATCCTGCAGTTACACTGTGTTCATGCTTTATCCTGCAGTTACACTGTGTTCATGCTTTATCCTGCAGTTACACTGTGTTCATGCTTTACCCTGCAGTTACATTGTGTTCATGCTTTACCCTGCAGTTACATTGTGTTCATGCTTTATCCTGCAGTTACACTGTGTTCATGCTTTATCCTGCAGTTACACTGTGTTCATGCTTTATCCTGCAGTTACACTGTGTTCATGCTTTATCCTGCAGTTACACTGTGTTCATGCTTTATCCTGCAGTTACACTGTGTTCATGCTTTACCCTGCAGTTACACTATGTTCATGCTTTACCCCGCAGTTACACTGTGTTCATGCTTTACCCCGCAGTTACACTGTGTTCATGCTTTACCCTGCAGTTACACTGTGTTCACGCTTTACCCTGCAGTTACACTGTGTTCACGCTTTATCCTGCAGTTACACTGTGTTCACGCTTTATCCTGCAGTTACACTGTGTTCACGCTTTATCCTGCAGTTACACTGTGTTCACGCTTTATCCTGCAGTTACACTGTGTTCACGCTTTATCCTGCAGTTACACTGTGTTCACGCTTTATCCTGCAGTTACACTGTGTTCACGCTTTATCCTGCAGTTACACTGTGTTCACGCTTTATCCTGCAGTTACACTGTGTTCACGCTTTATCCTGCAGTTACACTGTGTTCACGCTTTATCCTGCAGTTACACTGTGTTCACGCTTTATCCTGCAGTTACACTGTGTTCACGCTTTATCCTGCAGTTACACTGTGTTCACGCTTTATCCTGCAGTTACACTGTGTTCACGCTTTATCCTGCAGTTACACTGTGTTCACGCTTTATCCTGCAGTTACACTGTGTTCACGCTTTATCCTGCAGTTACACTGTGTTCACGCTTTATCCTGCAGTTACACTGTGTTCACGCTTTATCCTGCAGTTACACTGTGTTCATGCTTTATCCTGCAGTTACACTGTGTTCATGCTTTATCCTGCAGTTACACTGTGTTCATGCTTTATCCTGCAGTTACACTGTGTTCATGCTTTATCCTGCAGTTACACTGTGTTCATGCTTTATCCTGCAGTTACACTGTGTTCATGCTTTACCCTGCAGTTACATTGTGTTCATGCTTTACCCTGCAGCTAAGCATCCGTGCCTTTTCCTGCATTAACATGTAAGCCAAAACGTTTTAAATAGTTTTGAACAGAGTATAGAACCCCTATCAGGTGTTTTCTTGCTGTCTGTGTCCTGTTGAGGATATCACCTCTTACATGCATGCCAATTCTATCATTTAGGACTTCCCCTCACTCCCTGTCAACAAAGAGGAGGTGAATCTTCAGGAACAGAGAGCAGTGAAATCTGGGCAGAGGGTCTAACCCTTCCCTGTACTATCTGAGGAGGTTTTGCCTTCACATACGAATATACACCCCCAAATAAGCTCTTCTCCACCAGGGATCTGTGAGATCTGGGGGGTTCCCTTCCTCTGGGGTGTAAAGGATGAGGAAGGCTCTATAAACAGATCCATGACAGCACTCTCATGTCCCGATTCATGTACACCTGTCTCACATACATGGTACAGACATGACAATGGCTGCATGGCAGGTCAGTACAGAAATGTTCACACCGGATCCCATACATGATGAATATACAGATCGGGTATCCTCCAGTGTACAGGCCCTGTGCTGGGTACAGACTGCTGTCACATGTAATATAAGGAAGTACACGGGCCCTTTGGACTTCCCTGTGGTCTGTGCAGAGGATGATGATGTAGATAGCAGTGCTGTGCTCAGGATCCATGCACTGGGTCTGTGACAGGGGCAGGCAGGTGATGGGGGAGGGGGACAGACAGGTCCAGATGCACCCGAACACTAGTCACAGCTCTCGCTGCTCTTTGGACTTCGCCACCCAGTGCGGCCTTCTTCCCGCCCTCCCCGAGACACCCTCCTTAGAACGCCAAGCGCCCCCACACACTCACTGGTAAGAAGTGGCTGGGAGGCCCCCCAGCACCCTCCGGGTCTCCCACGGTTTAGGAGGTGCAGGCTGAGCCGCCATCCCGCTCTACCGCAAAGCCATACACAAGGCCTGGCCAATCGACAGCCGACAACCACTTCAGAACTACGGACAGGCTCCCTGCCTTGCCATCCTCAGGCATTAGTAGTCTAACGCTGATATGCGCCAGCCACAGACCAGACCAATCACCTGCCATATACCGTCCAAAGGCAATTGCTGTTTGCGCTCAAATCATAAAGTATACTACATACACTGTTCCAGATTACAACATGTTTAATCATTCCCGGAAAGTAGTATTTTGTTTGCCTCCGTTAAAATATGGTAGACCTGCTTCTTGGCAGTGTGCGATTAGTATGGTCTTACACAGCAAAGTAGTTTACTTGTCCGTTCTTTTAATGCTTCCCCCGGAGGAGGAACCACGAGTGTTTGGGTCCATGTGATGTGTGTTCATTCTCTGTGTAGGGATTGAAGATAATTGGTTTTATAGGACGTTTCCTCTGACTTGGTGGCCTGTGTGCAGTGGCTGGCATAGTTCTTCTCCTTCTGTCTCAATTAGAAAGTCTTCTGTTTCTGTATATCAACTGGCTGCACAGCTCATCGAGTACTCACTGATCAGGTAATGGAGACTCATCAAAGCATTGTTCAAGATGTATTTTCATACTCATGTATAGCAGGAGAATGCTGTGTTGTTAGAATGCTATATAAACGACATAGATCCACTTTGTGTGCACCAGATGCCTTTCAAACCCAGGTATTACTATATGAAAGTAGCAGTGACATCTGTACTGTACATAGCCTGTGCAGAGAGCAGAGCTGTGGGAGGCACCCAGGAGGATACTACTACCTACTACAGGAGGGGGTGGATACCAGACCAGTCTCCCTGCACAAGGAGAGAGAGCAGTAGTGACTGGTCTTTATTACAGGAAGCCTCTGCACAGAGGAAAATTCTCACACTGGATTACTGCACAGATCTGGAGGAAATACACAAATCACCCCAAGATTCAAATAAGAATACGCATGCCTCTTGTATTTAGACAATATTTACTTATCCCAGAGTTCAGCTTTAAAAATATTATTATGACCCCCAACCACCCTTATTCTACAACTTATGACTGATAGCTGAGCTTTCACACAGGGTTGCCATCCCTGAATTTTTTTTAGAGACAGAAGCACAAAACTGTATGGACTTATCAAACCTTTTTTTGGCACGACAGCAATGATTGCATATTCCATATCTATGCAGATTGTAGCAAAGTTGCAGTGCAGGAGGTAACATTACAGCAATGACATGCAGTGACAATTCATTTTCATGTGTGAGCAGAGCAATGTTTGGGCAGGATGGCATCACACCCCATAACATACATAAACCTATCCTGTGTTTGAGAGACAATTGAAGTGTATCTTTAAAATACATAGGGGGGGGGGGGGGGGGGGAGAGATTTGTCTTCACATCCTGTCCTGGAAAAAAACCAAGGGAAAGTGAGAAGAAATTCCTTTAATAATGCGCCACAAACTGCGGGGAGTGCTCCTGCCGCAACTGATTTGGCCGGGAGGAGGGTGTGTTAGCCAAATCTTTGCGCAGGCTTTGGGGAACTCTGGCAAACTGGGTTAACACCAAGCCCCTGCGTATCCTTAATGGTCACATTTCAATGTCCAAAATTGTTATAGGAATGTTCTCTTTATCATTGTGATTATTGTGTATTGATGGACACCACCTTCTATTTTGTATTTTCTACTAATACTAATGTTACAAGACTGATCAAAATTACCTTCAAAGGAGCAATGAGAAAGTCTAGCGATGCTGTTGGTTCTGGGTCCTGAGATGACTTGTCTTCATGCCCGTTGTTTACTTTTGTACTTCAACCAAACAATGGATATCAGCACAGTCCAGCATTAGATCCAAATCTTTCATTGTGGAAACCGGGATACATACAAACTGCAAGATCGCTAACGCGTTTCATGCTGAGTAGTGCTTTCTCATAGAGCGATCTCCCTTTGAAAAGCAAACTCTCCTCCTTCCTCCCAGAGAACAAACTAAGCTCAGCTGTCATCAGTCAGGAGATCACCATCTCGCATTACATATAACTATCTAAATACATAATAACATTGTACAATTCTATATTAAAATCATAACTATTAGATCCTTAGCTCTTAAAGTTCAACTGAAGCCCAAACTTTCTTTTTTTTCTTTTTTTTTTAGTTTTTGATGGAGTGGGGAGGGATTAGAACACCTGTCGGGTATTTATTGCTATGTGTTCCCATTAGGGAGAGTCACCCTCTCGATTTATCCTGGTGACAGTTATCAATGAAAGTAAATGAAAAGCCCACATTTTGGGTTGTCACAAGAACAACAATAGATGGGAAATCTTCCATTGGGGACCCTGCTGGCCGCCAGATATTTCCCTCGCTATGGAGGGATTTCTTCTCACTTTCTGTTGTTGCTATTAGACAGAAACTGGAGGGAAATCTCCCCAATGGGACCTGAATGGCAACAAAAAACTGACTGGGGTTATAACTCTCCCTTACTCTATCCAAAGCTAAAAAAAAGTTCTGGCTTCAACTCTATTTTAATTTTGGTTTGTAAGATGAGATAATTCAGGATACAAATACAATAATTTATTTTTTTAATCTATAGGATAAGATAATATAAGTTAAACTCTCAGGAATTAATTTTTATGTTTTAATATAAAATGGATCACTGTTGTTATATGGGGTAAATATAAGGTCTCCTGGTTGATGACAGCGGATCTTCGTTTGTTCTCTGGAAGGAAGGAGAAGCGTTTACTTTTCTGATGGAGATTCAAACTTCAGGAGATAGCTCTATGAGTAAGTACTATTCAGCGTGCAATGCATTCCAGATCTTGCCTGTTTGCCTTAACACAATAAAGAAGTTTGTGTCCGGTGGTGGTGTACTGTGTGATTATCCATTGTTTGGTTGAAGTATATTTCTCGGTGTTAAGCTGGACGTGCACCTAGCTGTGATTGCGGGCCAGGGTGGACCTACCTGGAATGGTATCGCTACATTTTACTTTTGTATTGCCTGGGATGTAATTGTTTTTCCGTTTCTCTGTTGCACTATGTAAGAACCTAATAAATGTTTATCATGTTTCTCAGGTGTATACAGGATGCTTCTGATAGAAGAAAAGTATAGGCCGGTCGCTGAGATCTTGTTCTCCACAGGGACCTGTCCAAGATGTGTCCTTCGCCTATGCTGTGTTGGATTCCCAACTCCTTACCGCCTTCCATACAAGGTCTTCTTATTTTATGAGTCAGCAATTTATAAAAATGGAAATCAACACAAAACAATTCATCCCCACACAACTACCTCCTCATGTATCACTGACCCCTCCCTTTAGATTGTAAGCCCTCAGGGGCAGGGCCCTCCTTACCATCTTGTCTGGATTTGTATTGTAATTGTAATGTCTTACTTTTATTGTAAAGCGCTGTGCAAACTGTTGGCGCTATATAAATCCTGTATAATAATAATAACAATAGCATATGTAGGTTTGATCTCTACAGAAAACCTTTGAAGGAGCACAAGCATATACCAGGTACTTCTGGCTATAGAGGAGCAGGTGACAGCACTGGACCAATCAGAGCTGTCACAGGGAAGTTCATAGTGCTGTGTAAGCTAGGACTCAGGTGCTTTGTGGCTTAAAGGAGCAGCAGGGAAATTAGAGGAATAGAAGTACATGCTGTTAGGAAGGTTTGCACTAAAGCAAACCCATTACTTTGCCCTCAATAGGCAAAGCACATATTCAGTTTAAAGAAATTAGGATTATCTGCTTTGTATGCTTATTATCAAATCAGTTGCATTGAAAAGAATAGTAGGTGGAAGCTGAATTAGGTAAGGTATCTGGGAAAGGCTCTGAACAGCATAGGCCCTATGATTTGAAAGTGTCTGAAACAGGGCCAGATTTATACTTTGCTAGGTTGACTCTCCCATGCTGCATGCCCCCTGCACCAGTTGTCTGGCTAGACTTAGTATCATATTAACAAGATCAGATGTCACAGTGCATAAAGCGCACTGTGGCTTGGGTAGATTAGAATGAGGGAGAGCATTAGCCAACTCTATCTTTTTGCACCTAGATTGCTTGAATAAAAAAAGTAGAGCCAACTGTCTTCCTACTCTGCTAGCAGTACAGTCCCAGAGGGGTAAACTGCAAGTAGAGAATACACCAACATAAATCCACATACTGTGCAGGGACAGCAACAATAGGGACCTGGCTGGGTTGCACTAGCAGGGAGGTAATCTGGAATGTTTTATCATATAATATGTTACATTCAGCAAAATAATGTGTGTGTAGGGTATTCCATCCCTGTCAGTCCTACTGCCCTGAGCTATGTCTTTCATTGGCTATTTAATGAACTGAAACCGACCAACTTTCCAGGGTGGTAATTCCCCTAGTACTAAAGTCAACTGACTGACTATATGTAACCTGTGTTGTGATTTACTGGCTTCTTTCTGAATTGTACCATAGTAATTGTTACTACTAATTCATGCAGCTCCTCCAGCCTGATGGTGGATAGATATCTTTGAACATTCATATCATCCTTATGTTTGTACATTTCCTTTCTGAAGACCAAAGAGTTACTGCACAAATTATATTTATTTAAACATTATAATATAGACACAGTGATATTACTGAATATTGCTATACATCAGATAAATCAGATTTGTAATCATAGGCAACAATGTAAATGTTATTATGGTTTTCAGGCACTTTTATAAAGGGGTTAATGTGCTGTGTTTCAGGATCTGATGGGTGAGCTACAGAAGTTCCTGGCTCCATGCGGTGAGGGTGCAGATGATGAAGACAATGCTCCTCCAAATAAGAAGGCTAGACTTGATGACTCTGACACGTGTTATGCTGCAGAAGAGCAGAGCCCGGATACCTCTGGGGCTCCAGAAATCTGTAATTTGTGTTTGGGGATTCTGCAGCACCACTGCAATGCTGAGTTTGTTAAGAAGGTAATTACACAGTGTGCAGTCTTATCACATAATGTTGTGCTATGATTACAAGCTGCAGGACTTTGCATGCAGGACTGTGAGAGATTTATTAAATCACAAACTTCCTATAAGCTTATATTTAGTTTACTTTTGATGTG